AGAACAATTTTTACGAATTCTTAACTCAAAATAATTTGCTAATTTTCGTGATTTTTCCATATTTTGTCAATTTTTGAACTTTAATGCTTATAAAAAAAAACTGTGACTAAGGAATTTTAATATTTTTCATCTGCCTATGAAACAATATACTAGGAGCCTTCTATTAAATTTTCAAGCTTTTTTAAAAAAAACTAAAAAAAAATGGAAAATGAAAATGTCCCAAAACAGTTCAAAATAAATCAAAATATTTTGAAAATGTTATCGTGTAGGTATAGAAGATGCAAATATATAGGTACAACCAGTGAAAATGTCATGTATCTAAGGTCATTTTTTTTAAGTTACACCATAAACCAAACTCAATTTTGTGAAATATCGATTTTGCGTAAAAATTCCCGTTTTTCCTTAATTTTTCTTTGGTTTTCTTGGCGCTTTTGAAAACTACTGGGAATTTTAAATTTTGATCTCCCTAATGCACCAACGATATTCACTTTCCAATCGAACAAGATACTGAGGTTGAAAATCGAAGCATTATTTCACTACTTATCGTGTACACAGACACAAAAAAATAATAAAAAAACACACATCGTTGTAAAATCAATACATTCATCGTTCCACTCAGAATCTAAAATGTACTTCTATTTTATAATATATGGTAATATATGGTATAGAATATTGATATATAGATTATTTTATCATAATACATTGATGTCATAATGCTCTTTTGCAGTGTTAAATATTTAGATACCTACTTATATTGTGTAATACAATAATAAATAAAGTATACCCTTTGGCCTTTATGGTACAAACCTCAAGGTAGGTAGTTAGAGATTTAAGGTATTAAATTTAGTATTTAGAAGTAAAAGAGATTATTAAAAAAGACAATTTTTCACTTCGCCAAAAAATATTCCGAAGTTGTAGATTGGGAACCAATATTATAAAATTTATATTTTATATAGGTAATAAATATTAATTTATAATTTTCAATTACGTAATCGAAAACATCGTTTTACTTTTTTACAGTCACCGTAAAGTATTGTCACCCCTACTAAGTCCTAACATAAACCAGTGGGCTATTGCCCTTTCGAACCACCCCTTAAATACGACCCTGGTGTATACTGTAGCCTGTATTAGTATATAGGTATATATAGGTATTATTAATATATTAATAATTAACGCAATATATAGAATATAGATTATTACTTCTTGGTTACTGTGACCTAAATATTTAATAATTTTGAAAGAAATATAAGTACATTTAAAAGTCATAATTATTGGCAGGTATCAAAGTATCGACATTGAACAGTTCTTACCAAAAATGTGAAGTTTTATGAAGCATAATAATTACGTACTATAACAATGAACTATGAAGTACCTAGTATAGTAATATACTAGTAATATTATTAAATACTTTATTTTAGAGTAGGTACCTAACTGCAAATTGATGTTTTATAACTATTTCTTTGGATTCACGGTTTTGTGAATTTCTTGTATTATAACTTATAAGTAATTCCATTAAAAAAAAAACATTAGTGTACCTAGTCTAAAAACTATTATATATAGTATTATATACCTAGAAGCAGATAATGATAATAAACTTTCCTTCTGCTTGGTATTTTAAAGTTTATACAGGGATCACAATGGACACAGATAGGTACACAGTTCATTAATCCAATTTGTCTTGATCTATCAACATCAGTGCTTATTTTTACTTTTTAAAATTTAAAATTTGTCTACAACATGGTGATCCAAAGAATTACAATTATAAGGGCCGTTGGCTTAAATGGACGTGGATTCTCATTTTGAGACAATAATGGAAATTCTTATTGGAAGCACCAAACTCGCAGGGATGGTTTCACAGTTCGATGTTCTCTATGGCGTTCAAAGTAATTTTTAAATAATGAATATTACATTATACATATAGGTAGTTCCTTACATAAAATAAACACATTTTTATAATTAAATTAATTTTTAGGCACATAAATAATGATTTTTAATCTATTATTATGTGATTATATTGAATCAAATTGTAAAAATTTTTATAACTAGGGATAATGTTTTTCAAAATGTTTTATTAAATTAAATAATTTATAATCAATACAATTTTCTAATGTCTAAATGTCTAATGTCTTGTATTTCCTACTTAAACAAATGTTTTTATTTCAGAAATGCTTATTAGATATACCTACGCGTGGTATAATCAATGATTACCGATTAGCAAGTGATTTTATTGAAATAAGGCAACCAAGACCACGTGTATGGACAGCACAAGACAAAAAAATAAAAACCGGGCTAACCAAGTTGAGGAGCCACATATTTTCAGTGGCCGAATTTTTGGGCTACTGTAAACACAGTACACCGAATTTTGGAATAAACCGTCCTAATGAAGGTGAATTGATTAATTGGTTAAAATCTTTTTTTCCATCAAATTTGGAATAGGTTACAATATTAGTTGTACCAAAAAATGTAGGTATGTTTTGTTTCAAAATCTATTACTTTTATGACATTCATGTAGGTAGGCTTCACATTTGTCTACTTTTGTATTCATATATTTCATAATATTCTTAGATTCAAACTGAATATAATGGAATATATTTTTTATACCTTTATTCAGTTTTTCATATTATTTAATTTAAAATTGAAGAGAAGATTTTATTGTCATTTTAATCTTAAATACTTATAAGTATACAATTTATTACAATATTATTATTTTATAGAGCAACAAGTTGATGATGATGCAAATAATATTGCAGATAATATTGGTAATCATGATTTAATATAAAATTTAAGAGATGATTTTATTGTCATTTTGATCTTAAATATTTTAAGTATACAATTTATTACATTATTATTATTTTATAGAGCAACAAGTTGATGGTGATGATGACGATACAAATAATATTGCAGACAATATTGGTAATCATGATTTAATATAAAATTTAAGAGATAATTTTATTGTCATTTTGATCTTAAATATTTATAATATACAAATAATATTGCAGATAATATTGGTAATTATGATTTAATTTAAAATTTAAGAGATGATTTTATTGTCATTTTGATCTTAAATACTTATAAGGATACAATTTATTACATTATTATTATTTTATAGAGCAACATGTAGATGGTGATGATGATGATACAAATAATATTGCAGATAATATTGGTAATCATGATTTAATATACAATTTAAGAGATGATTTTATTGTCATTTTGATCTTAAATATTTTAAGTATACAATTTATTACATTATTATTATTTTATAGAGCAACAAGTTGATGGTGATGATGACGATGCAAATAATATTGCAGATAATATTGGTAATTATTAGGGTTCGGGACTTGTTGCATTTGCATATTGCTTAATAATGACTGCAGAATAGTCCAAGTAAGATTTAAATTTGTTTTAAGTCATAACGGATTGAAATACAAAAATTTTAATTGCATATTTTTGCATATTTTGTCGTTTTCTGAGCAAAATGCATATTTGACAAATTTTGGCAGTTTAATTGTTATTTACAGCATATTTACGCAGTTTTTGTTTTACGTTAAGTACATTTATTTTAAAGGTTAACTTTATTTTTTTTTTATTTTCATGCGTTGTTCAATATCTCTTTTCTAATGTCTAATTGTACAGTCAAACTTTATAGGTAAACAATTCATCGTTTTTATATTAAATTATTATTAAAGAAAAACCCAACCTTTTTTTTATTGTAGGAGAAGACGAAGAAAATGAAATCGAACATACACTTCAGTAATATAATGTTGATAGTGTTATTGTAGTCAAAAAATGACTAATTACAAAAGAAGGTCTAAATTTAAATGAATAAATCAAATTTTTTAATTTAAAAAAAAATATTCAATTGCATATTTTTGTGCATATTTCGGTTATTTTAAGTGCATATGTGCATGCATATTTCCTATAATTTGTGTGCAATAAGTCCCGAACCCTAGTAATTATGATTTAATTTAAAATTTAAGAGATGATTTTATTGTCATTTTGATCTTAAATATTTATAATATACAAATAATATTGCAGATAATATTGGTAATTATGATTTAATTTAAAATTTAAGAGATGATTTTATTGTCATTTTGATCTTAAATACTTATAAGGATACAATTTATTACATTATTATTATTTTATAGAGCAACATGTAGATGGTGATGATGATGATACAAATAATATTGCAGATAATATTGGTAATCATGATTTAATATACAATTTAAGAGATGATTTTATTGTCATTTTGATCTTAAATATTTTAAGTATACAATTTATTACATTATTATTATTTTATAGAGCAACAAGTTGATGGTGATGATGACGATGCAAATAATATTGCAGATAATATTGGTAATTATGATTTAATTTAAAATTTAAGAGATGATTTTATTGTCATTTTTATCTTAAATATTTATAATATACAAATAATATTGCAGATAATATTGGTAATTATGATTTAATTTAAAATTTAAGAGATGATTTTATTGTCATTTTGATCTTAAATATTTTAAGTATACAATTTATTACATTATTATTATTTTATAGAGCAACAAGTTGATGGTGATGATGACGATGCAAATAATATTGCAGATAATATTGGTAATTATGATTTAATTTAAAATTTAAGAGATGATTTTATTGTCATTTTGATCTTAAATATTTATAATATACAAATAATATTGCAGATAATATTGGTAATCATGATTTAATATAAAATTTAAGAAATGATTTTATTGTCATTTTGAACTTAAATATTTTAAGTATACAATTTATTACATTATTATTATTTTATAGAGCAACAAGTTGATGGTGATGTTGATACGAATAATATTGCAGATCATATTGGTAATCATGTCTACTTTTTTGTTTGTTTTTGTACCTGTAAGCAAAATATAAATTATTTATTTATTGTAGAGCCAGCAGTGCACCAAAATTATGGTTATGAATCGCCTCCTCCATTTTTCCAGCAGGTACTTCTAAACCATAATCTGTCTTTGATGTCACCCTTACCGCTATATGAACCACAGTATTTTGGACAAGGTAAGATACTGAACTTAGTATAATACTTTATAATCTATGATTAATATATATTTTACACACATGTAGCTTTTGTTTTAAAAATTTAATACTTATTCACAAAACAATTATCAGCCCGTTTGTCAGTACTTTTTTTTTTTAATATTCACTAGAATAGTTATGCATACATTGAGTATTGACTGAAGTTTAATAAAATATATTTGGCTATATCCAGTCTTTGTTATATTTGTAAATTGTATGATTTATTTGAATGATTGTTGGGAAATGGTAATCATTATATAAGTTAATAATTCCTTAAGATTGCTATTGAAGATAATTATTATAGTTTTTTTGAATTTTTATGCATGTCCTAAGTAAATTATTTATTTTAGAACCAATAGGAACCGAAAACGATGGTGATATGCCGATTGTTTATGTCGGGAGACAGAATGAAGAAGGTAATAAATAACCTCTTAAAATATTTATTTAACAATGTGTAATATACTAATATTCATTTTTTAATATAGGACTAGCTTTGAAACTATAAACCTACCAAACATTAATTTTAATAATGTTTACTCAAAAAGCATGGTAGATACTATAGTAATTTAAAGAAACACAATCTAAATAATGTTGATTAGAGTAGTTGTGGATTGTCTTCTGATTTCACAATATTTATTTAATATTTCCATACTATCTATTTATTAATTTTTCAATTATTTTCAATTTAGAGTAGAGCTATTAATGTATTAATTTTACTAGGTAGTGTATGTATTGTGTATACACAATTTAAAGTAGAAAATAAATTTCAACTTAAGTATATTTTCTGATAGGAATCTAGCTGGTACTCCTGGGAGGACAAAATTCTAGTACTTTTCTCAATAATTGGGGAAAACAAAAATAAATTATTAAAAACAAGTTTTATATTTTAGATGGATTTTTTTTTTTTAAATTTTCATTTAACTGTTGATAAAATTTTTTTTACTCAGTTAGACAACTTGAAACTCCTTCGTATTTATTGTATTTGTTTAATTGAATGATATACTCTTTTCAGAATAAGAAGGAACCAGGCGGCCACGGACAAAACCGGTTTTGTTACGTAAATCTGGTGCGTTCTTATTCTGAAAAGAGTATAGTTGGGAATTGGTAAACATTATAAGTTAAAAATTCTTTTAGAATTTTAGATTGCTATTGAAGATAAGTATTATTGTTTTTTTTTTTGTCTTTTTATACATGAACTAAATAAATTATTTATTTTAGAACCAGTAAGGATAGAAAATTATGACAATTTATCAATTAATGTTCACTTCAGGAGACCGAATGAAGAAGGTTAACGTTAACCTCTTAAAATATTTATTTATCAATGTGAAAATGTGTGACAATAGTTATTTAATATCTTTATACTATCTCTTTATTTTAAATTCTGAGTGGAGCTAGAGAATATTTAAATAAAACAAATTATATGTTCACATTTTCACACACACACACACACACACATCAATCAATAATTTTAATATGCACTTAATATACTACAGTTTATGACTGTATCGATATTATAAATTATCTTACTTTTACTTTACAGTTGAAAATATGAGAGAAATCATTGTCTGCGTCACATGTTTGAACGAGGAATCAAATGTGGTATTACGGCCATGTAACCATACATGTTTATGTGGTGCATGCTATGAAGGGTTAACTAGATTGGTTTGCCCACTGGCCACTATGCCGAGAACCTATAAGAGAGATTGTTGTATTTTTAAGTTAATTTCCAAATGAATTTTGTTTTATTTTATTTAAATAAATAATACTTTTGTGACAGTAAAACATTTTTATTCTTTAAATGATTCACATTTCAAACTTTAATAGTGCAATAACATTAGTTGATGACTTTGATTATAAGAAATACAATATTTTAATATATATATATATTTTTTTTGAGCCAAGTACACATATTTTGACTTTTCCCCAATTTTTTATAAGCTTTTCGTTGTCATGATTACTATTTTTACCAAAAACATTAATGATTCACACATTATCCTTGGAGACTTGGAGTGTAAATTATTGTGTGGTTTACCACGTAACCGTAATCTTAACCTTTTTTTCAAATAGGGTGATTGTAAATTACTATTACCTATTTGTATGTACTAATGTTATTAATTATTATATACATAAATAGTTTTTGACTATTAATTTCTGTTAAAAAAATTAGGCATAGGTAACTAAAGTGACTGACTTGAAAAATATAATAATTATAATTTATATGAGTTCAAAGTTCTATATATATATCTGTATTTGATTTTTTACGGGATGTGGCTCCTTCTAATGGTTATAATTTATAAATTCTAATTAATGAACATTTTAAGCCACTAACAAAAATAATGTAAATGTTAACAAGATGTCAAGATCATATACATTGTTGTAAACAATAATTATAATAGTATCTTTGTAACTAATTGATAAAATAAAAATAAATAAATAAACAAATACATATTACACATTACCCATATAATATATTATTATTATAAAACCTATTATAACAATATATTGTAATAAACATTAATCATTAAAACTAATTTAATAATATAAATTATTTTTCTATTACAGTAGTAACCAATAGGTTATAGGTGCCATACTATATAACCACTGGTATGCTAGTAAGAAGGAATATATGATCAATAGGGAAGCAAAGCTTTGACCTCGTGGGCTATGGATTTGATTGTTTTACTATTTTATTCATTACTTAATACTTATCACAACACTCAATTCATGTCAGATTTTAATGAATAAGAAAAAATCTCAAAAATATAATATATTTAAAGAGTTTATTTCTAAATGACTAAAATATTTGATATTTTAGAACTTGTTGATAGCTAAAGTCTAAATTAGGTACATTTTATGTCTACTTGAAAAGCAACATCCTAAATCATACAAAAAACCTAATTGTTTCTATGATTTGATTTGTTTGTTTAAATTGAAGGAAAAAGCAAGAAACATACTGAACTATTAAAAATTAGCCATACATAAAAATAGATATGTCATATGAACTATGCATATTGAAAACGTTTAAAAAAAAGTAAAAACAGACTGATACAAATCTGCTAAATAACACGAAACTCTTAATTACGAGGTAGTGGTTTTGAACGTCACTTGGGCGAAACTTTGATATATAAATAATTCCCCACTGTGTTACACACTAAGGTTAAATAATACAGAGTATACCTACAGACACAAATAAATATAAAATACGAGATTAGGGATAATTATTCAGATATCAGAAATTCAGAATTAATATTAATTTTCTTAAGAATAATATGCAATACCTACCTACTTTAAATAAATACAATAAGCCATATAAGAGTACGTAGCAACGTAGGTACATACGTTTTATTAATATAAAAAAGGGTATTATTTTTAGCTTCAAAGTACTTACATATTATAATTATTCAAAATTAACTATTGTATTCTCAAAAGTCAAAAGTGTATAAAACTATAATAGGCATTTGTAATAAATTTACATAAATGAATTATAATTATACAGAGATCGAGTGTAATGTATTTTTTTTTTTATAATATTTTTTTATAATGTGATAACAGACATCTTATTATCAGGACTTTTAGATCACCGCTCGATAATTTGATCCCGAGACAACTAGATCCACGTTGTTACCATAGGTATGGTTGGGATCTCAATGACCCGGGTCCTATTTGTTCATACACCTCGAATTTCCTTAGCAAACTCATTGAACTATATGATAACGGTTATCTTTCTTTTTCGTTATCAGTTTTCAAATTTATCAAACATTTATGATAATATATTTTCGAAAAATCTTATTCTTATTACACCGTTTTTCGACTTTTCAATATTTCCCCGTCCCCGTCACTCCTCTATTCGAGTGGTTTGTTTGTTATTAAAGCCGCGGATGTTGCATTGTTGCGGTTTGTACGCGAAAACTATCCGTAGCCTTCGCAATCGCAAACGACTACGGCCGACGTTCGTTATTATTATCGTTTTTGTCGCCTTTTTCTATTCGTTTCTTCTTTTCAACCGCCGTTTGTGATCTATTCGTTTTAGTTTATTTCTTTTGAAACCCGAGGATATGCGGTTTGTACACAAAGTTTCGGTCGGTCTTCGTTTCGACGCACAACTTGGATTTAATAAATAATACTGATTATTTTTGTTTTTTTGTTTTTGATTCAATAAATATTTCATTATATTATTGTACACATATTATTTTGCCCCTTATTCATGATAATATATATAAGCATTGGTCAACTATATGTCTATATGTAATGTGTAATATACAATATAGGTAGGTACAGAAGTACAGAACTGTTCATCGGTGGTGTTATGAATGTCAGTATGTACTGCTAAACATATGTATTATATATAATGTTGATTTAGGTTATCGACAGCGTTAGTATGTATATTTATTATTTAACTAAGCACACATATTGTGTAAGTTAGTTGCTATGAGTATAGCCTATATTGGTGGCTAAATATTTAGTTAAACACACAACCGTGTCGGTCTAATTTACTGAAATGCAGAATTACTGATTAACTGAACGTGAGCCATAGCGATCCATCAAATATTCAAATGTACATATTTAGATGGTCATGTATCAATGTTCAATTCACCACTATATCTTAGACAAATAAAGAGCACAGTACTCACTACTCAAGTGCTTGAAATGTCTATATTATAATAATGCATAATTATGGCAATATTTTGTCAAGTGTCATTTCTATAAGAAATAACATAATGTTTAAAAATGATTAATATAAAATATGTTTTAAATAATAAATGATAATTAATATTATGGTTTTAGTTATTATAAAATGTTTAAGAGGACGTCCAAATGTATATTTGTAATGTATATTGTATACACAATAAATTGTGTTAATTTAAAATAAAAATGAATCAACAAGAATGATATATTATATAATTTAACTTAAAGCTTATTGTTTAAATATAATATTTGATTTTTATATTTCCTTATACTTGTGAAAATGTTTTCTGAATATAAATACCTATTATTAAAATATCTAAAACATTCATGTTTTTGAGGAAATATTAAAGAGCTATATTTTAGTTATAATGTTATGAAACTACATCATGGAACCATAATTGTTTTACCATGGCAATTTTATCATAATGTTAATGAATCTTTAAAAAAATGTATTATAATATTCTTTATAATATTATTAGTACAATTTTAACATTGTTTGAATATTGAATATAATTTTGTTGTCAGGTCAATTTACGTAAGACATTTTTAAGAGAAAGTACTTTATTTTTTTTCTGCAGTTGTGACTTCGATTGTGACGGTTCGGCCTTTTTAAGAGCTATTTAGGAACTACACAATCATCACGTAAGAGGAACACTTTGTGGTACCCTGTGAACCGTATATCACGTGGTAAACCTAAGGACAAGTCAGTAGGACTCAATACTCATAGGCTTTGTTACGCCGTATGAAAAAAAATAAATATGCTTTGTAGCATTATAATAAACGAAAATAATAACATTAATTATATCTGAGAATAGGCGACACTAATTTTTTAAATAATAACAAAAAGAGAGTTTTCTTAAAGGTAATTAAGTGGTTTTATTTTACGTGGCATCAAAAACATACAAATAATATAATATTATAGGTTTTTTTTTTTTGGGGGGGGGGGGGTAATAATAATATAAAATATCAGTGATGGGAATATGATAATTGGGGGCAACATGGCAAATGCATTTGTACAGGGGCGGATCTAGGGGAGGGTTCAGGAGGTCTGCTGACCCACAGTTAATATTTTCTGATCAAATTGGCCTCTTTTCAGATCTTGAGTAGTTGGACACTTAAATAAACACACATATAGTATAAATTAATTTTAGATTCTGAGTGGAACGATGAATGTAGGTATTGATTTTACAATGTGTGTTTTTTTTTAAAATTTTTTTGATTTATTTTTGTGTCTGTGTACACGATAGGTAGTCGAAATAATGCTTCGATTTTCAACTTCAGTATCTTGTTCGATTGGAAAGTGAATCTAGTTGGTGCATTCGGGAGGTAAAATTTTAAAATTCCCAATTGTTTTCACAAGCGCCGGGATTAAACTCATAAAAATTAAGGAATAACGGAAATTTTTACTCAAAATCTGTTTTCCAAAAAATCGATTTTGGTTTTTGGTGTAACTCTAAAACAAATTAACTTAAATACATGAAATTTTCACTGGTTGCTTATATTTGCATTTTCTATACACGATAAAATTTTTAAAATATTATGATTTGTTTTGAACTGTTAGGGACAGTTAGCTTAGAAAGCTTGAAAATGTATTATAAGGCTCCTATTATATTGTTTAAAGGCAGATGAAAAATATTAAAAATAGTTAGTCACAATTTTCTTTTATAAGCATTTAAAGTTCAAAAATTGACAAAATATGGAAAAATCACGAAATATAGAAAATTATTTTGAGTTAAGAATTTGTAAAAGTTTTTCTTTTTAAATCTAAGATTTGAAAATGTAATACAAGATTACTCATAAGTTTGTCTACCTTTATCAATAAAAAAATCTCTACCGGAAAGTTAAATTAAATTTTATGAGCGTTTGAAATTCAAATTTTTACAACATTGGATAGGTATTCACTCGATTTCTCATGTAGCGATTTCCTTATTTTGTTGTAATTCAAAAACAAATAACTGTAGATAAATGAAAATTTCACTGAATGTTCATATTAGCATTTCCTATACAATGTACAATTTTGAAAATAATCGTTTTTCT